TTGCTGCAATGTTCTTATTTTTTTTTTCAATAAAAGTTCACTGGTGTAAGTATTAACTGTTTGAACTTCTTTATTATTGGTAGTAAGAACTATTTCATCAAATGTTCCAACTTTATCATATTCCAATGGAATGTCATCAGAAGTTCTAATTTCATCACCTTCCAATGGAATGTCATCAGAAGTTCGAATTTCATCATCAACTAATCCTAATGGAATGTCATATTCTGCTAGATTTGAATTAAAAAATATTTTTTTTAATAGTCATTAGATATAAATTTAATTAAGTTGTAATTTGTATAGTTTAATTTAATTTAATAAGTACCTGCTGCATTGAAATTTGAATCTCCAATTTGAATGAGATTTCTTTCAAAAGGTTCTTTTCTTGGAACTTTGGACGCCTTTTGGTAATAAGAAGGAAATGCAGAGAACACTGTCGGCACAGCATCGTCTTTTAAAAGTATTTTTTTTATTATTAGCCAGTTTTACTTGATAATTTTCATCAACAAAATGATCACTGCATAAACGGCTGCATTTCGTTGGTGTAAAATTCTTTCTTTTTATGGCAGCAATCCATTCAGATCAACATTGGCTAAAGGAAATCTATAATATTCAAAATAATTATTCTCAGATACACAAACTATATGTTATATATATGACTTGTTATTTAAAAATTTAATATCCTTATAATATTCTACTATAATTGGTTATTATTATATTAACATAACTTACCGAAAGAAATGTATATTTTGCTCAGCTTGGTATCTGTTCGTGCATCCATATGCAGCACACGAAACAGGCATTGCACTATTTTTGTAAGTTGTATCCTAAAATTCCTAATACAATGACGTTCAGTCTATAATATTATATAGAATAATTTCAATGTTTTGCCAACCACGAAATGGGCGATAACGGATTATTACTATTAGTTAGGCTTCATACGATAACGCGATTACCTTATCTAGTATAATATAGATATCTGTGGTATTTTCTTAACACGTTGTCACATTCAACTATCGTCAGTAAACCGACTTTACAGATAACCGATTTCTTTCAGTGCATTATCTTATTGAATCGATTTTTTCAACCAATTATTTTAAGTTTTATTAAAAACCATGAATTTACAGAAGTTTTCTAACGATTTTCCTTCATTGGTTTATTTAGTTAGAAATAATTCGTATCCAGTGCATTCAGATTTTACTACATTTTTATCGAGATTAAAAACGTATAATTCATTTCCACCTACTTTATGTCAAAATAAATATTCGTTATCTGAGGCTGGATTTAAGTATTCAGGAACTGCTGACATAGTCGAATGTTTTTGTTGCGGACTGGTCTTACAAAAATGGACTAAAGATGACATTCCGTTTGTTGAACACGCAAAATGGAATCCTAAATGTATATTTGTTTTACTTTGTAAGGGTAATGAATTTATAGAAAATGTAAAAAACGAATATGTAAAATCTGCACATGTTTGTGATTGTAATCAGTCTAAATCATAATATGTTATCATTTACTAGTTTACTTGTTTAAATTAATTATATTTTAATAATTTGTAATCATTTATAAATAAATATTGTTTTAATCGACTTAAATGCGTTAATAATTGATTTTATATCTCGTTGACTATTGTACCCGAGTCGGATAACGCGTCAAGTTGTAATTAAATATAGTAGATTTAAAATTCAAGTTACAGGTTCAACGGTTCAGGTAAGTATCCTCTCTCTACGCGTTATCTGAAATTACATTGCATACTTTGAAATTCTTCGATCGGAAAAAGCTGTAAATTTAAACACAATTAATTCTATAAAAGTAATGTGTAATATAGCTCAAGGATCATTCAACAACAATCTTCAGAGTCATTCGATTTATGAGTTTTTCCCGAGTGAAAGGACAGGGTCGAAAGTAATTCAGTCACCACCAAATTTAATATATTACAAATTGAATAAAACAAATATTTATGCGATAACCGTTCAATTAGTTGATCAAGATCATAATCCGATTGATAATTTTGGTGAGGCATTGACAATCGTGTTACATATTAAACGTTACGGGTCTTGAGATGGGGTTGAAATTCAATATAAACCCGCTACTTCGGATCAGCACAACTAGTCATAAGACTAAAGTGCCACCAGCAACATCAAATAAGATAAAAAAAATTAACGGTGAAGAATAAAAAAATGTTACAAGCTTTGGGTTATCAATAAAAGCAGAATGCCTGAAAGTGATATTTTGGATATAACTTCACAGTACGAAACGGATTCTAAAATTACAAAAATTGAATATCATTCATACACACCGTATACAACATCATTTAATAATAATGATGAAATACGTATATCAATCCAGCAAACGGATGTCTATCCATATCTACACAAAACCTTTATTTTTTTGGAAGGAATAATTACTGATTCTACCAAAGTGAAACTATCTAATAACGGTTACTCTTACCTTTTTGAGCAAATACGGTTGGAAATCAATGGGATAGAAGTAGATAGCACACGTGTTCTTAGAATCACTAGCTCGTTGAAAGGATACTTATCCGGTACATCAGACAACTACAATTGCAATGAAAATGCTGGCTGGAATTTTAAAAACGCAACGCAATCGGAAAATGACAAAGGTAAATTTAGTGCTTGCATTCCATTAAAATATTGGTTAGGTTTGTTTGAAGACTATAAAAGAATATTGGTGAATTCTAAATTGGAATTAATATTAACTCGAAGTCATAGCGATTTAAATGCTTTAAGTTGTAAGACTGGTGCAACTGCTACTGAAGGTAAAGTCGTTTTAAACAAAATAGTCTGGAACGTCCCACATATCACTGTTGACGATGAAGAAAGGTTAAAATTATTGAAAAATAGAAAAAGAAAAAAGTCTATTTATCCCTTTTAGATCTTTTGAAACTTTTGAATATCCTGAACTCGGAACCACTAAAAAAGTTGTATGGAATTTGAAAACTGCTTCAAAATTAGATAAACCACGATTTATCATAATTGGATTACAAAAAGGACGCAAAAATTTGCTAACGAAAGATTGTAGTATATTTGACCATTGTAATTTAACAAACGTTAAAGTATTTCTGAACTCTATAGCTTATCCATACGATAATTTGAATTTAGATTTTACTAAAAATAATTTCACCTTATTATATAATATGTATACATCGTTTCAAGAATCGTACTATGAAAAAAGTATTCGTAACCCGATATTGAGTCCTTCTACTTTTCTGACAAACGCTCCAATTAGAGTCATCGATACTTCGAAACAGAACGATTCAGCCACAACCTCAGCAGTGGATGTTCAATTGGAAATTGAAGCTTCAGATTCGCTTACAGGTGTAACTGCTTATTGTTTATTAATTCATGATCGTATTGTAGAATATGTACCTTTTACTAGAGAAGTAAGAAAATTAGTGTAAATAATAAGTCAAAATTGTATATATTTAAAAATTTGCTGTAAAATACTATTAACTGATTAAAAAATAAATATATAATGATAAGAAAAAAAAAAATAAATATTTTTATTTATTTTAGAAAATTATATTAAAAACCGTTTTGAATTTTGTCTAGAAAATTTTAGGTAGATTGGTTTCACTGTAAGGCATGCATTCCTCCTTGAACTTTTTTCATCTTCCTGTAAAAAGTGTGATAGAAGCCCCAACCCACCTTTTTAGAATTTTACCTATACGGTGATCGAATGTGCTGCAAGAGGGACTTTCCCCTTGAACTTTTTTTTTCCCCTGTAAAAAGTGTTACAGAAACCCCAAATTACTACTACTGGTATATGTAATGGATTGTGTTAAATTTTAATACAATGATATAATATCATTGTACAAGAAAAACAATTCTGAGCGAAAAATAAATTAAATTTATAAATTTGATAAATTTTGACAACAAATGAACTTTAAACGCTTATAACACAAAATTGTGCCAATGTATTGCAACTCTATGAAACATAATCATGTGCTGGTAGGTATGTCGTTTTGATTTCCGTCGATAATAACAATTCTGGTTGTTACTATAACAATCAAACGGCTCACGGGTCACCGTTTGTGTACAATAACATTATGATTATTTATAGATACTATAATTAATAATACTATATATATATACATATTTCTTTGGTAGTACTCTGTATAGACTTATTGTCAAAATCAAGCGCACGAGTGCACTTTCCTTTTCTAATATTGTACTTCATTTGTTTGTGTACATTCGTCACACGCTGTCTCATAAGTTTTAAAAACCGGCCGCATTTAAACTTACGGTCGCCTTCTAGTATGTCTTGTTTGACTGTTTTAAACCAAGATTCAACAGTAGCATTACTCTGGCGGATTTCAATGCCATTGCTGAGTTTATTATTCATAATAGGTGTCCACAGTGCTAAGAAATGTTCACACTTAACTATAAACGTGTGTAAATATGATTCACCATAATATTCATTAATGCTTATATTTTCAGCACAATTTAAGACTCCAGATTTAACCTGTTCTTTCATTGACTGAAATCTACAGAACATCATGGAGTTACTCGTGTTGGATTCGCATAGAAATTTATTTATTTTCTCCGAGTGATCCTCACCTTCGTTGTTCGATTCATTTGGCAATTGGTATTTATCATAACACTTGGCTCTCATTGTACTAAAGGCATTTTTCGTGTGTCTTGTACCATAAGGTGACAACAGTATTACTGAAAATATTTTGAACCATTGTTCAACATCTGTCAAACTGGTTGTGTTAAAAAGTATAAATATCCAATCAATGACATCATTTCTTTTCGTTTTTTCTACAGTCATACGATGGTTTTTCTCAGATTTAAAATATGTGTACACATGGTTTACTATAATTTTTGTGTAATGATTTGCACATATATTTATGATGGTGACATTAGATTCGTTGTGGTTTTCAGCCAATACTCTGTAACACCAGTTAAGGTAGTCGAATATGGAAGTAAAACCATTCCATCCTATACACAAGGCATTCATTTGGGCATAACTGAAATCTGTCACGATATTTGTGAATACTGGCCAAGTCTGTTGTGTTTCAAAACGAATTCTTTAAAAGCGTTCCGCCATTGTGAAATCGCAATGTCGTGGGCTGAACTAATCATTTCAACAACAGGACACGTGACACTTGAGTCTCTAGGTAATGGGACATTAACAACTAGAACATAGTACAGAACCCTTTTGCTGTTCTTGTCAATTTTCCTGACCACTGTACCAGTTGCATACAAATACCCAGTTACTGGTTTTTGTTTTTTAATCAGATTTTTTAGTATGTCCAACTGCTCGTTACTATAACAGTGAACGGACGGTACGCCGACATGCTTTACAAAGTTGTTTTCTTTGTCATTACACATCAATACAAGGTCATGAAAATCATCTTTATCATAATCATCGGCACTTATGGCCTCTGATCTGATTTTTCTGACGACGTCATCTGATTTAATGCCTTGCAAATTACCACAATTCAACTGAGTGGGTGATGCCATGTCAACAGCGTCCGACCTGAAGGAAAACGCTTTAGTCTTTTTTAGCGCTTCTTTGTGTAAGTCTCGCTGAATCCTTTTTACATGGTTCGTGAGACCATTGTCCTCTGGATTGTGATGGTAATTTAAACCAGAACTATACACTTCAGCCAGAAACTCTTGGTCTCGAAGCTGGACTTTAATTCTAAAAAGCTTACACCCCTCATGGGTACAATACATGCACACATTGCAATGATTGTCAAAATATCTAACCCTTTTTGCATTAAAAACGCATGTATTATTCAAAGTTCTTATGAGCCTTCTGAACATAATAGGATATTTAGTCTTTTCCAAACGTTTTTCACCGTTAATATGTGTGTATAACATATGACACCACTCTACACGTGAAAATGTAAAAGTTCCTTCAAAAAAATCACATTCAGAGCTATCGTATTGTTTTGGAAAACAATTTATTAGCACAACACTAGACTTGACCGGAGTTTTCTTAAAATAGGCATTTTTAAGGGGACTTGGCACAGGTCCAGCATTTTTCTGCATTCCAATTTACTTGGTGTAACAAAATCAGATTCAACCCTTATGCTTTCTGGTAGAATTGGAGTACTACAAGGTATTAGTGGACTTCCTATCATCCAACTGCAATCACTTTGGGGAGATACACTTGTGTATTCAAGTGAAACGTGGTCTTTATGCACTAGTTCAGGCTCTGTGTGATCAGAATATGAAGTGAAATTTTCAATACTAGAATTTTCATTAAAATAAACACTATTTGAATTCATAATGTCTGTGTCATCCGATGGATTAAACAAAGACATGTCAAAGTGTTTTTTACATTTCCTATACAATTTAGTACGGTTAACACGATTTGCAGCTACTTTAATGTGTTTACATATGGCATTTAGAATTGTGACATTGAAATTTAAGAAATCACTAGACGTATAGTTACAATTTTCAATACATTTTATTATTTTACTATTCATTTCTGACACATTACATAAATCAGTATTGTTCATACTTGTAATACGTTTACGAAGAGATGAAGTGTTTCTATTGATAGCATTTGTAATTGATTTTTTTAAACCATTATCATTTTCTTTATTAAAGATGATATTGCAAATATTAGTTACACAACTGTCAGAAACTGAGACATTTCCAAAATTTAAATTTGGATATTGATTCTTAATATAGTGAGCTACCTCATCCGATTTTTTGTTTAAACTCATTTTAAAGGTTATAAATAATTGTTTTCTGTGTCTGAATTACAAATTCGTTCACACTTTTATCTGCCTGAGTAATACCTCTTCGACTTTTTGCTGTCTGAGTTTACACTCTTCGACTATTTCGTGTCGGAATTAACAACAATTCGTCGGTACTTTTTGCTGTCTGAGTTTACACTCTTCGACTATTTCGTGTCGGAATTAACAACAATTCGTAGGCACTTTTGTTGTCTGAGCTTACCCTCTTCGACTATTTGTGTCAGAATTAACAACAATTCGTCGGCACTTTAAGCTGTGTGAGTTTACCCTCTTCAACAACTAAAATTATAACTAAAACTACAACTACAACTATACTTAAGACTACTTTTTTTTTGTTAACTACAACTACCACTAAACTACTTTTTTTTTAAAAAATTAAAACTACTTTTTTTTGGTTTTATTTTTCTACTTTTTTGGGGTTATTTTTCTTTTTTTTTAACTACAGCTAAAACTAAACTACTATTTATTTTTTTTTTAACTACACATAAAACTAAAACAACTATTTTTTTTTAAGCTACAGCTAAAACTAGAACTACAACTATTGTGAGAGTTGATGTGATGCTGCTGTAAATAAGGCAATATGCTGCTGTGTGGAAATGGTTCGGAAAAAGCAGGATCACAACACCTGAAAAGTTTAAAATAGATAGGTTTTAATTTTTAAAATTACAAAAATATATTATATTCAAAAATTATACACTCCTATTTTAATTCGCAATTGAACTTGTGAATACTGTGACAATAGTAGACATAGTTATTACAATTAAAATAATTTAAGCATACACATATTAAATAAAGTTATGATTATTAATTATTACAAATCGATACAATAATGTCAAATATATTAAGTGTAGATCAATTATGTTACTATGATAATTAATTCATATTTTCAAACAAACATAATCTAAGTTAATTTCATAATTTCATAATTCTAAAAAAATAACCATGTCCGTACTGACAAGTAACACTTTTTCAAACATATAAATAAAGTATATAAATGTATTTATTTATGTAACATATAAAATTAAATGATTATGAAACCCCTCCGGCCCTCTCTCAATATTAAATTCCTTTCTAGAACACTCGTCTGGTCTCACCAGCATACAACATACCATGTGTTCCTAAATTCATCACCCAATCCAGCGGCTTATCCAGCGGATTGATTAGAATTTAGGAACACATTATTTTGCTACTGCGCTTCAACCACGAACTTAAACTTAAACTTATGGTTAACCTACGTAACCATGCCCTAATCATAATAATGAGTGATTATGATAAAAATCAGTTATCAAATTTATCAGTTCGATAAATATTAAATATTTAAATTTAAAATATTAATAAAATAATAAATGATAATTTATTTTTTTAATTAATCTTAAAATGGATAATACTACATCCTTATTTGTTTTGTTTTTTGGTTTAAATCATGTTCATGAAAGCAATAAGTCTTTAGATAAACAAAAAAAAATTCTTCATCATCGCTTGTCGATTTCAAATTCTAAAATACGTATAACCAATTTTATGTTAGTCACAAGACGTATGTATGACGATTTGGATTTTAAAAGTCATTTTTGGCTTACAAGGAGTTCAATTGAAGTAAGTAGAATAGTAATTGCCATAATGAATTTGAATTAAATTTGACACTAATATAATTTGGTTTTGAAATTTTAGGTTTTAATGTGTAAAGTAAAACCGTTTTATTTTCTACGCACGACCAAAATGGGAAGGCCTTTAGTTGCTTTTGAAAAATCGACTTTGATGACTGTATGGTACATGAGTAACACGGAGACATTTCGGTAATATAAACAAAAATTACTTTTACTATTCACATATTTGTTTAGTGTAACTGATAATTTAACATTATGTTATTACCTACATGTTATTACGAATATAATATTTTATTACAAAAATGTATTGAGTACTTACCTAGCTATTAAAATTTTTGAATAAGTACATTAATTTCTTATACATATTGTTTAATTGTATAGTCAAGTTGGGGATCGTTTTGGACTAAGTAGAGGCTTAGCATGCCGTACCATTCATAAATTTATTCGTGCTCTTTCAAAAATTCTTGACGAGTTTATATTTTGGCCTATAGGAAGTTCAACAACAGGTATTGTTGTTATTACTACTCATTAAGCTAGTCTTGTATCTTGAATCATTTGTATAATTCTGTATGGATACCATTCAAGATTTCAAAAACTTGAGAGTTAACTATATGCCAAACACAATTGGTTGTATTGACGGCTGTCATATCCGTATCCATGCTCCAAAAGCTAAGAGAAGTGATTATACAAATCGGAAAATGTTTCAGTCAATAGTTCTCATGGTAAATTACATACATATTAGATAAATCAAGTGCTAATAAAAAAATGTATTTTTATTTTTTTAGGCAGTATGTAATGCTCACCTTGAGTTCACCTACATATTTTCTGGATGGCCTGGGAGTTCTCACGATGCAAGAGTTTTCAAAAATTGTTCTTTGGGTAATACATTATTAGAAACACTACAAGAAATAATTTCTAGAAGTCATCACCTACTTGGAGATTCCGCTTTTCCATTGCTAGAAAATGTATTAGTTCCTTTTAAAGCTACCCATATATTGACCGATAAAGAAAAATTATTTAATAGACGATTAAGCTCTACTCGAGTTGTAATTGAACAGGCATTTGGCTTGTTACTTAGACGTTTTCGGAGACTTAAATTTTTAAATATAATATTGTATAATATTTTAGGAACTCTATTATACTTCAAATGTTTTAGATCCTTGGAATCAAAATCAATTGAACTCATGAGTCTAACTGTAACTGGTGCTTGCATTCTACATAATCTGGCAATAATAAATAATGATTTAATAGAAGTTGATGAAAACCTTACTGACGTAGATACTTTAATAGAAGGTCATGTTTCTAGTGCTTCAATGGCAGTTACACAACGAAATGGGATATCCAAAAGAAATGAACTTGCTTCTAGGTAATTATAAATAAAAAGTGCTTCTCATTACAATTAATATTTTAAATATCTATATATTAACATAAATACATTATCAAATTATTATTATTTATATTTTTTCAGGTTTTATGAAAAGTAAACAAGTGTAAAAGAATATAAAAAACATCTTACAGAATAATAACAAAAACAATTTATGTATACGTACAATTAAAAAAATGTATATATGTAAAAATTACTCTTAATAACAAAATATAACTTGTTTGATTTTTTATTTTATTAAACAAGAATAACAATTTTAAAAATATACTGGAAAAAATAAAAAAAATGTATTCTTTATTTAGTTTTGCTGTCTCTATTTTAATCATCATTTCCATGAAATGTTCTAGTTTTGTTTGGAAAGCATCTCTAGACTTTCGGTCTTCTTTCATTTCTTCCAAGAATGTTTCCTGGGAATTTTTTTTCTTCTTCATCTTGGGCATATCTTCTTCTAGTTCATCATCTGAATTATTGCCATCAATAATTGTTGTTGAATTTGATGTTTGAAGGGTTTCAGATGTGATAGATCCAGAAGAAGTTTCAGCTTTTGAATGCTTGCTGTTTGTTAAAGAACTTTCAATGAGAGTGCTTTTCTTGGGTTTAACAGAGTCTTTTTTGCCAAAATATTTTTTCATTAAGCTATAGTATTCCCAATTAATACACCCTTCACCGGATTTATTAGCTCTGCAAACGTTATCCCTAAATGTTGACATTAGGTTTCTAAATTTAATGTTGCAATTTGTTCCAGAAACAACAATACCACTTTCACTTAATTTCGCAGATATTTTATCCCAAATTTTATTGTTCTTTTTGTTGCCATTAAAATCTTGTTCTGCATCTCCTCTGTTTTCTATTAGTAAGTTTGTTGCTCTTACAGTCCAAACTTTAGTTTCTTGTACTTTTCTTGTAACTGTATCTTTAGAAGACTGAATCGATTCTTGTGATATATCATAATTTGATGATGTATCTATTATAAATAATTAAATTATTACAAACTAAGTATGTATAATTTACCTCCAGAAAAGTCAGTAATAAAAATTTTACAAAAAATAAAGTAAAACTGAATTTATCATCAAAATGCATAATATAACATTCAATTTAAAATTTATCAAATTTCATTAGGATAAAAATATTATACTTTAATGTTTTAAGTGTTGCATAACTACTACAAAAATGAAGTTGTTTAAAAAAAAATTAATAGAACAAATTATATATTAACCAATAACAACAATAATTAATTAAAGTATAATATTTGTGTATAGTAGGTACCTATATACAATTATACTAGATACAATTATTAGTATTAAACAAAATATAAAATATATAGTACTATAGAATAAATAAAGTGGATAAGTACTTGATATAATAGATTCTGGTTTTTCATTTTTTTTCAATCGTGTACGAATATTTTTTAAAATGATATCATATTCCATATTCCTAAACAATAAATTAAATTGTTATGTAATAAACTAATAGACTAGTTTTTATTATTGAAATAATTGCATTATGAGTTTTTACCATTCAGGAATTTGAATACCGACAATTCCATTTTCTTTAGTATCTACAAAATCGTTTGATAAAAGAGATGCAATGTTTGCACTTAACAAATCTACACCCAAATCTAAATAATAATCAAAATAAATATATAAAAAATAGTTAAATATATCTAATTCCAATTTTTAAAAACTAATAGTTAACTTACGTAAGTCGATTGATGTGCAAACTGTGTCTAAGGGTAGATATTTCACATAAATACAATACAATAATATTATTATATTGATATAAAATTATAAAAATACTATTGTCATCATATCAATAGATTATAGATTTTAACATTTTAACCATGAAGTCATTCCACTTTCAATAAATGACGGAGACACTGAGTTGTAGGTACTTTTTTCGTTTTATTTATTATTATTACTTATTGTGCCTGTGCGTTGTACCAAATAGAATATTGGAATATGTCAACTCTTAATAAAGACGAGTGCATTTGTGGCAAAAAAAAATGCTGAATGATACAAATTGGAAACGGCATACCATATCATGTAAAATGCGAAAATCTAAAATTAATAACTCAGATATTTCATCTTTTTTCAAAAGGCAATAAGAAAATATAATTGAAATTAGTCAGACAAAAAACAGCGTCCTGGTAAGTAACTATAACCCTTTCACTACCACTGTCCATCTCAATGGACATGCATTTATATTCATTACTGAACATCAACATTTGATTACAATGACGTTATTTTACATTTTAATTGTTCGCTAAATTGTATAGATTAAGATAACCGCCTATAATTTATCTATAAATGATAAGGTTTTTGTAAATTAAATTTATGACCATAAATAAAAATAAAGTAAAAAAAAAAAATATTGGTCGAGTACAATTAAATGGGTAATGAAAGGGTTTTATTTACTGTCAAAATTTTACAATTAACAGATACTGAGATATAATATTAGTTTATATTTCTTATGCTTAAATAATGATGAAGTATTAAGCCGGTATATTACTATTTTTTTTTTTTTTATAACTATTATTAGTAATTCAAATATTAAAGGTAGCCTACCTACCTATTAGTATTTAATTTCTTTGCTTTAATTAATAGTTAATTAATTATTAGGTATTTACCGTAATATTGTATAATAATTAGTTGTGCAATAGCCAGGTATTCAGTAATCACTATTATTTGAATGTTTTAAGTATCTAATAATTAAAAATGAATTGGATAATAATTTTAAATTAATCATTTTTACTTTTTACTTTTCAACTAAAATAAATTGTTTATGTGTGAGATTAAAATATTATAACATGGTCGGCATAAGTGCATAACAATTGTTTTTATTTAACTAAACTATGATTACAAACTTATTATAATATTAGGTACTATAATAATGTTAGGCAAGTTATCTATTATTAAACAAAGGCAAACAATACATTAATATTTAAATACGAATAAAATTAATAGATATTAGTGAAAATGCCAGAAAAATTGAATGCTGGCATATGTCTTAATAAAGAAATAATAAGTCATCTAATTGGTTTAACCTTATTTTTGGGTAGACATTGTCTATCTCTCAGAGGTCATCGAGAAGGTTGGAATGAAAAAATACGTGGCAACTTTAAAGATCTAGTAGTTTTATTGGCCAAGTACTCTCCTGTATTAGCATCTCATATTACTGAAATCCAAATCAAAGGTAGAAAAGTGAATAATTTTCGCAGCGTCAAAATCAGTTAATTAAAGCCATTTGTCTTGTTTGTGGCAGTTCGTAATATTTTCGTTTAAATTTTCCATTAGTTAACAAACATAATTTTAAAATGCCGAAAGAAAAAAATATGACATCCAGTCGTTTATAAAGTTATATTGCTGAATTGGGAACAGGAATATTTTCAACAGATAACAAAATTTTATTTTGCAAAGTATGTAATACGAAAGGTTCAAGTGAAAAACGTTTTACTATAACTCAGCATATCGCAGACGAAATACATCTTAAAGCAGTTAAACGCTGAAGAAAAAAAGGATAAATCTTAACAGTTTTTGTTTCAAAAAACTTCAACAAAATCGTCATTCAAAACTGATTTATGTAAAGCTATGTTGAGTTCTAATATAATCTCAATAAACTGAGCAATCCACATTTCAAAATTGTTTTGGAGAAATAAACAATACATATACATCGAAAGTGATACCAGATCAATCAACTTTACGAAAATCATAATATGGCGATAGTTGTTACCAGGAAACTATTGGAGAAATAAGAAGTAAAGTGGCAGAGAAAAAAATTTGGGTTTCAATTAACGAAACAGCGGACGCTGAAGGTCGTTACATTACGAATGGCTCTTAGCAGGAAAAATTTTTTGTAGAATCCATGACGTCATATCTCATGAAACTGTGATAAGACGGACTATGATAACAATGATAACGAGAATATAGTAAATTATAATATAATATTATATAATATTATTTTTATTTTATAAAATGGTATATTAAAGTATTTTACTATACTATTACCTCTCTGCTAATAAGTAAATAGGGAGTAACGACTATTTTAATAGCAATTTTTATTTATAATTAGCAAAAGCAGTACTATTTTATTGATCTTAATCAGTCAGTTCTCAGTTCTTCACATCGTTTGCCTATTGTTAAATCATATTTTGTGTTGTATTAAATTATTTATTCTTTTAAAATGAACAGTGAAACTAAATATAATCCTGATAATCCAAAAAGGGTGATAACTCCGGAACATATTAAACGATGAAGAGGAGATAGGTAAACTAATTTATTACTACATTGTTGGTGTTGTATGCAGGTGGTCTGGCTCAGTGAATACAATTATTGCTGGTAAATATTTGACTTAAATAAAAGTAGATACATAAATATTCTGGGTACCTAGTAAGTTAATATATTTTACTTTATCATATTTTGAATCTGTATGTACTATTTTATATTCACCAAGGCAGGGCAAATTAATGTTTTACCCTCAGATATTGAATCTAATTGATCAAACAAAACTTGTTAATAACATAAATACATTATACATCTTTGACGACTTAATAAATATGAAAATTTAATTTTGGAAATATCTAGTTGTCAGTTAATACATTTTGGTTACAATTATAATATACAACTCTGAAATAACAAAAAAAAAAATAGTAAAAATAATATTGCAACAAAAAAATTGAAGTGTCAATCATAAATCATTTAGATAAAATAATTAAAATGTCAATAATTTATAGATAATAATAGTTAATAGATAAGTAATCATAATTTATAAATAGGAGTGGTCAAACATTTGTGTTTTACTTATGAATAAAGGTTCATTGGAAGAATTCCTTAATGGTTCTCTAATATGCTTACTCTCATTAGATGATAAAGTAGGTGGTTCAATTCTTTTTTTTTTTGTTGGTAAAAAATCTGGCTTGAGGTTCAATATTTCTCTTCTTTCCTACATTTGAAGTATTTTTAAAATCTGTATTTTTGGCCAATTTCGAAATTATTTTATTATATATTTTTGATCTATGTCATTTAACTTGGTACGATTCACCATTCCCAGTATTGACTCTAACTTATTTGTGATTTCTCCTGTATTATCTGTATTTTCATCTAACTTTGGATGAGTTTCGTTTGGTTGTAGGAAACCATTATCAACAGCTAATTCATATGTTAAAGATGTTGAAGTTACTGCAGGTTTACATGGTAATAAAATATTTTTTTTTTTGTTTTGCACATGCATGAATATGCTTGTAAATATTAAAGTAAATTACATTATTCATGCATGAGCACTTATAGGTATCTGGCATCCAACACAACTCAAAACACATTCACTACATGAAAAATTTGTTTTCTCAACTTTATAATGGACATTGTAGTTAGTTGTAGAATTAACCAACCAGTAACCATCAACTTCTGATATCATATTTGATGTTACCTCAGGAGATTTTTTATGAGCTGCAATAATTTGATTAATTTTAGAAGTTTTTTTTGTTTTGCAATTTTAATTATCCTTTCAAAACTTTTATCCCTAACTAATGACATAAGTGCATTGATTGACAGATCCAAGCGTTTACATTTTTTCCCATCTAAATAACTATATTTTATGGTTTTGTGAAGTGCCTCTAAGAACATATTTGTATTTATACCAATGTGTTTTCTATTGAAATATGCCCACTTTTCTACTCTACATGAATACATCATTTTAAAGTACATCCCAAAATCTTCAGTCTCTGTATCATTAAATAAGTCATCTAATACTTTTTGGAGTTCAATATAAAAATAATGTTCATTAGTTTCATACAATAGTGCTTTTAAGGTTGTGAATACAATGGTTTTCTTTTCATTGCATTGTATTTTGCTTAAATTTTTTTGTCCAATTTCTTAATACATGCCAAGTACATAAAACTTTTATGTACTTGGCATGTATTAAGAATTATAAAAGCTGTTTTTCTGCAGGCCCCATTTACAGCGTTCCAAGCATTATAGAACGCTGGTTCATCATCGGACATAAACACATTTGCTGTAATTTTACCGGTTACAATTTTAATGCACTGAAAGTAATGTTTATATAAAGCGGTGTCAGATTTATTAGAAAAACAAAATGCAACGGGATATCCGTTTCCAAACTCATCCACCACAACTATAGTATACAACTAAAAATTATACCCATTTAACCCATGAGTTCCGTCTATACATACGTTATCATTTCCAAATTTCATTAGTAACTCTGACTGAAACAGTGTCATTTATGATTAGACAAAAATCATCTTTTGTAAAACTTTGAACAATATTGTCACTGTTTCCCTGTTGTTTAAAATATATTATTGGACTTTCATCACCTTTCGCTGTCATCTCTTTTACCCAAAGATTAACACTTATTAAATCGTTTTCATGTCTTTTGGTAGCATATGATATATTATAATCTCTTTTGATATTATGTATGTCCTTTTTTTCAATTAAGTGAATTCGTTTTATACTATCACTTTCAACATTTGATGATCTGATGTCTTCTAACTGGTACACCCAATGATAATTTCCCTAAAAACATAATTAAATTTTATGAAGTTATATAAGATTGGATCTACAAGTATGGGAATTTCATTGTAATTATTGCAACAATTTAGTATGACCAAATTACCTGCTATCTTGCTTCGATCTTCAACAAATAATCTTTGTTTTCCTATTGCATGTGTATGTGAAAGATGAGTATTACAATACCGTACAGTAAGTTTGGAATTTTGTAAGTGTACTTTTATATTAGATGGGCATGCATGGCCAATTTTTACTGTACCACAACTTTTTGTAGATCGATGGCCCTATTTTATTAAAATATTAGTTTAAATAAATGTGTTTCATGTTCAATTGTATTGTGCTAAAATATAACATTTTTAAATAATAAAATATTTTACTTTTCTAGTAGTTCTTTGACTAAATGATCTATGGAAAAAAAAGTACATATATTTTTTATCGGTTGATTTTTTGCTTGAAGTAGTTTTTACAAATTGGCAAAATTCTTTTTCCTCGATAGTTCTTTTCCATGCATTAAAATCTATATAATTTTTAAAAATAACCAATGTAAAAAATGTTGTTGTAAATTACTTAATATATTTACCTTTTCAATGTCAGCAAGTAAACTTGGAGGTCAATTTTCAAAAAATTCACAAATAAAACATTGTGTTTAGTGCACAGGAAGATAAAACAAATATTTAAAATTAATAATTGAGCTACAAGTAAACATGGATGGGAATCAGACTTGCTTGTGTAGAAAACACGTCGGTATTAATACAAATATGTACTTAGAGGCACTTCACAAAACACTTCCAAACCAAATTAAAATTGCAAAACAAAAAAAAAAACTTCTAAAATTATTCAAATTATTACAGCTCAGAAAAAATCTTCCGAGGTAACACCAAAAATGATATCCAAAATTGATGGTTACTGGTTGGTAAATTTTACATCAAGCTACAATGTTCTTTATAAAGTTAAGAAAATGATATTATGTCAGAGTTGTATATTATAATTGTAACCAAAATGTATAACTGACCAATAGATATTCTCCCCATATTGCAGTTACAAAAATCATTAATTTGCCCATCCTTGGTAAATAGTACATAGGTACAGATTCAAAATATGATAAAGTAAAAAAAAATTAACTTATTAGGTACCCAGAATATTTATCTACCTACTTTAATTTGGTGACGCGTCATTTGATCCGGTAAATAAAATCCGGCGACAAAAGATCCGCGACATTTGGTCCGGGAAAAAATATCCTGTACCAAAAATATCCGGGGCAAAAATATCCGATAATTTATTTTTTATTTTTTAAATAATTTAATTAGTTAATACATTTAATAGATAATAATTTTATTTTTAATAGTAACACAAATTAATTTAATATTATAATCGAACGTTTTCAAGCAAATTGGAGAATTTTTATTTTAATACCTTAATTTTTGATTTTAATTACCTGATTCATCTTCTGAAGTTGTGTGACATCGGCTTTTTCATGCACATTTTTTATAATCAGAGCAACGCCATACAATTTTATTTTCGTACACTTCATGCTTGCTGTACAGAAAACCGTTATACACCAACATATTTTTGCCTTTTTGGCTTTTAATAAATTTTAGTGGTATCATTCAAACTTATAAAAACCACGAGCAAAGAAATTTGTATCGTATGGACATTCACAATAAACACTAAGAAAAATCCCAGTATACTGTACAAAATTATGAAGACTATTATCGAATAGACGTACCTATACAGATTACAGAACACACACTAAATATGATAAGATTGTTCACATAGGTACATAAGTCATAAACTATAATCGACGAAAGTAGTACAGATAAGATTGATCGATATTTTTTCTGTCTGTACTATTCTTATAATAATGAAAAATATAATATAATATAATATAATATTTAAAGACTTATAGAGATATTTTTACTAAACTTTTACTTAAATATAAACATGTTTTTAAAAAACGTTCGATTATAATATTAAATTAATTTGTGTTACTATTAAAAATAAAATTATTATTTATTAAATGTATTAACTAATTAAATAATAAAAAAATATTTTTATCATAGTTATCATAGTCCGTCTTATCACAGTTTCATGAGATATGACGTCGTGGATTCTACAAAAAATTTTTCCTGCTAAGAGCCATTCGTGTTACATTGCCTCCGTTATTATCGGAACACTAATCTCTGTTCAATGAGAGTCTCGCACGGGCCGCCGACGAAAATTGGTCCGGTCTGCGCATGCCACGCCCGCTACCGACCGTAGCGCGTCGGAAGGAATCGGTTGCGCCTGTGGCATTCCCCCACTACAGCGTCGGTGGCAAACTGGCCATGTCGCCAGGACGGCCGTGTTGTTAAGTAGCAAAAACAATAGTGTTGTCAGGGTTGCCAGGTATGGCGATTTATCGCTAAAGTGGCTACTTTGTTTATGTGGCTGGCGCATATTTTTTTTTTTTGGCGGGTGGCGACAGGTATGGCGATTTTAGAATAGGATTTGGCTAAAATACGGCTACATTGGTTGCAATGCAGTGTACCAGACTTATACGATTATTTAGCCATAATATTATGCATAATAATATGATAATATATTAACATTTCCCGCATAAATTTAAATAATATTATAATTATTATTTATTGTAAATAATCAAAGGTCCAAAATGCTATAGATTGACTGTAAAGCTTTGTTTTTTGAGTTATAAATTAATATAAAATTATCAGTAATGGTATTATATTTTCTATAATAATATAGAACCTATATGTATTATTAATATTGTATTGGAAATTCCAATTTGGAATTGCCAGTGATATTATATTTTAAAGGTACATTTTATTTATCTGTAGAAGATAATTTGTATTAAGAGTGTTCATCACAGTATGTTCACATATTTATATTATTGGCATATTGTATGTGGCATATTTTTTCATATTATTTCCAAGATATATTTTTTTATAAACATAATTCCAATAATCCAAATCTCGAAATTTGAAATTTGTCAGCTTACAAATTATAATGGGTAAAGTTAAAAATAATAAGTTGCGCAAGTACAGGAAAGATTGGGAGCAGAATTCATGGGCAAAAGGTAATAAAACTCATATTATTCATTATTGATCCATCATTTATCCATTATTATTCATTATATGATTCATTATTCAAATAAATTTAGGATGGTTGTCTGAAGCTGACCCACTAGCAAACGAAGTAAATGAAAGTTACTGTAAAGTTTGCAAATCGTACTTAAGGGCACACTTGACCGATTTAAAAAAACATAGCACTACCAAAGTGCATGTGGAAAATATGAAAATGATCAAGCCGTCTTCAAACCAGAGTAAATTAAATAATATAATAATTGTTACAAACGAACAAAAAGAGTTAGATTTAAAACTTGCTGTTTATGTAGCCACGCACAGTTCAATTAGGAGTATGGACCATTTGTGTGAAATACTCAAGTTAATAGGAAATAATTCTTTGTTAACTAATTTAAAGCTCCATCGTACAAAGTGTTCAAGTTTAATTAAAAACGTTTTAGGGCCTTCACTATTGGAAGATTTAGTTAAAGATTGTAATACTGGCCCATATTCACTCATTGTCGACGAATCAACTGATATTTCTGTTGTAAAATATTTATGCCTGTGTATAAAATATTTTAGTATTAAGGATCAATGTATAAAAATTGAATTCTTAGGATTAGTCGAAGTAGATAGCTGCACAGCTGACTTATTGTTTCAACATTTATGCAAATATATCAAAAATATAGGCCTTGATATTAACCAATTAATTGGAATTGGCACGGATGGAGCTAGCAATCTCTGTGGGAAAAATCATTCGTTGTTTGCTCTTCTGAAAAAAAATAATCCAAATTTACAAATCGTTCGATGTATTTGTCATTCGTTAAATAATGCAATTTCAAAAGCTAGTGATTAATTTCCTAGCCATATTGATTATATATGTCGTGAAGTTTATAATTGGTTCCACATTAGTCCACTCCGAAGAGCCGAGTACAAAAAAACATTTGACCTGATTAATTCTGGTCCAAATAATAAAAAATTTCACAATTTTCATCAGTTATCAGCTACTCGTTGGTTAGCTCGTTCGAATGTTGTTAATAAGTAATAACATTGTAGAACATTGGTTGGAGTTGAAAACACATTTTTCACTAGTGGTAAAAAAAGAAAAGTGTTATGTTGCTAGAGTTTTAAATGAGATGTTGAATGATGATGTAAATTACTTATATTTGTTAATAATTAAACCAATTCTATATGAAGTCAAAAAGTTTTGTCGATATTGGAAGATATTGGAACACTGTGTTGTGCGGAGATATGAATTTGAACAATACTCCGTGCCATAGAACAGTATTGAAGCGAAACTCGATCAGCTGATTGGGGTTTTGTTTCCCTGTGATCTGAAGTCTGAACCTCCGAAAAAACATGGAAACGTTTCCTCTCATTTCTTCTTTTCCAAAAATAAGCCATTTCTGCCATTTTTAAATGATCATTTTTTTCTTCAATTGTATTTTGTATTTCTTCATTATCAGTGGTGCATTTCATAATAGTTTCAAACTTATCGCATAACTGACAAGTATCATTGTTTGGATTTTTGAAAGCCAAATTGAATTCATCAACAAAAATTTTCCTGTACATAAATTGACTAACAATATGTAAGTTGTTTTCTGAGCAATAGTTTTTATAAAGACCAAGATCCAAGATCCAAGATCTGGATTCAAAAAATTATTTCTATTAGTTTTGTTTCTACTCGGCTTTCTCTGATATCAGATATTATCACTAATATTTAACCTAAGTGTTATGGTTAAAGCTGAAAAATAATTTTATTAAGTTTTACTTTAGTTATTAACTGTTGACATAATTTGTTACATTTAAATATTAAACCAAAAGTCATGGTTAAGTCTGAATATTAGTTTTAATCTGATTAACTACTGTTATTTTTTAGTTTAATGTTACTTTTTATTTAAATATTCAACCTAAGTGTTATGGTTAAAGCTGAAAAATAATTTTATTGAGTACCTATTACTTTAGTTATTTGTTGATATAATTTGTTACATTTTATTTAAATATTAAACCAAAAGTCATGGTTAAGGCTGAGTAATAATTTTATAGAATTTTGTTATTCTTTGATTTAAGAACCTGATTTTATTTTGTAAAGGCACATACATAAAAAAAAAGGAAAAAAATTATTGGGGGGGAGTGACCCCCCCCCCTTGTTGACGTGCCTGAATAATGCATTTTTGTTTCCTGACCATTTTAATTCATCATTCACCATCTTTACATATTATAATTAATAACCTACAAAATTGTCCCAAAATGTGATAAGTACATTTATACAATTTTTAAAGGTGTTAAGTGCACTTTCAACTTTCAAAAAGTTAAAAATTCAACTTTTAAATTTCATAAATTAGTTAGTTTTCCTAATATTTTAGTAGAAGGTTAAATAAACAATGCATTGAAACAATTTAATTTAAATTCATTATTTCTCAATCTCTCCTGTCATACATACAAATTTGAAAAATTTGAATTGGCTGTACTGTAAAAATCATTATTTTGCACATACAATGTTGAAATATACAATTAATATGTAGTACATGTAGTCAGCCTTGACACGTGTGTACAATATAGTAACTAGTTATGTACGAGCATAAGACTCACTCTCTTCACGGATGTAACATGACCTCGGTCGTACATATATATAGGGCCTTTGATGTATGTAATATTCACTTGCACAGGCGTCGTTATACAGAGCGTATATGATGTGTGTGTACTGTCACAGTTTAATTGTCCAGTTGTACGTTATTATATATTATACTTATACATAATCATATTGTCATGTTATTACTTATTATATTAATGCTAACATCATTAGTCCGTCAAGCTTCACTTTCAACATACAACATTTTTGAATTAAGCCATCGATATATTCATTGTAATTTAAAATATCAATTATATTATGTGTATAGAATTATAGAAAAACTAGCTCTCCGAGCGTCGCTGGGGGACTACCCCTGAGTGGGCCCTGAGTGTTGTCGATTTCGAAAGCTGCAGTGGTCTTGTGGTGCGGACGGGTGGTCTCGATCCGACCATAGATATTAAAGAATGGATAGGCCATTTGTGCATATCATACGGGAATGAACATGAAAACAATTTGAGGATATAGAAGTCTTCACACAAATAAATATATATATAATTATTGTATATCATTTATGATAAGACCTCTGCCAGGATGAGATACAATCATAAAAAACAGTCTTTCTCTCTTCCCCATTCCGTCACACGGCCCTCTATTTTATTAATGTAGCCATGGCCTATGGCCTATCCATTCTTTAATATCTATGGATCCGACAAGGTATATCGGCGACATAGACATATAGAAGAACTAGATAGCCGACTACTATCATACTACCATGTAATGTTTTGAAGTTTCTGCCGCCATTTGCCTAAACGGCAATGTTTACGTTTTTTTTATGATAATAATGATTGATAAAGAATTAAAGACGAAAACATTTTTGAATAATAATTAATAAATTGAATGAAGAATTTATGTTTGAACCATCGTCGGGCTTCTCTAGTTCTTGTTCTATGATGTCTATAAATATAGTATAATATATTATTAATTATACTATTAATTATTATAATGGTTTATGCTTGTGTGGTTCATGGCTGTTTTAATCGTCAGAGCAAAGCTGGCGAAGTTCAATCACCAAAATAGCATTTTTTTTCGTAGGTTTATTAATTTCAAATACTTTTATTGTACCAGCAGTCATCTATGGACATATAGACATATTGTTCTATACAGTGGCGCCGATCCCTATGTTCAGGTATTGCAGATGCAATACCTAATTTAGGTGGGTGGTGCCGTACCACCATGGTGGCCACTGGCCAGTGGCGGGTGGTACACTGGTACATGGTTGTGGCCTTTGGGCTGTGGCCTGTGGGTACTGGATACCTTAGATCCTGATCTAAGCCCTAAGGACTAAGGAGGGTAGGTACTATAAAGATATAGAGTATTGAATATAGGTCAATGGGCAATGAGTAAGAATATAAGCTGTATACGAACTGTACAAGGTTTTTATTATTATTATTATGGTGATTGGCGACTATAGAAAAAAATAAGTATACATCAGAATCATAATCATCAGATTCTGAGATTATCTTATCTTACGATAATTGAGTCCCTGTGATAATAATATCTTGCTAATTACAGTATTACCAAATTAAAATATCATAGATTAATAAACACGGTAATGAATACGAATACGGCTATAAATAAAAGTTGTTGATACCATAATATAATATTCTATTTGAATACCTATTTATAAACAAAAAACCCTCAAAATCAAAACATTCAAAACACAATAATTTTGATTTAGGAAACCGAGACGTTGTTATGTAGTACGTCAGTCGTCAGTGCTGTAAATTCTTGTCATTAATAATAATTATTTCATTTGTTTTATCCGTACCGATTTTGCCGTTTAAGGTACTTAGCGTTTCAGAGATTGACATTTGTGTTTTTTTTTAAACTGTTATTTTTTTTTAAAATGAATTCATATTGTGAAATACTGAAATATGTAAAAGAGAAAGGGGACAATTAAATAAAGTTAATTGGAAAAGACATATTAATGCGTGCAAAATAAAAAATAATAAAAAACATGTCATTACACCACCTCCGTCAGATTTTTCCATAACAAATTATTTTTTCAAAAAAAGAAAAATTGAAGAAACCATAGTTTCAGGTATGTTACACAAAATGAATATCACCTATTTATATTTATTATTTCAATATTTTATGATGTTTCGAAAATAATATTATGATATCTTTCACTCGGCAGGTATGTAAAAAACATAAGCCTCAAATTAAGTATTTATTTTTGTACCTATATAATTTGTTAGATGAAAACTTACAGTGTGGAACAAACACCACCTATGATGATCCTTTAAAATGTGTTGGTGGTTCATTGGACTCAAACTGTGAAATTAGTCCATCTTTGCTGTGTTCAGGTACTTATAATATTTTATTTTGTAGTTAAAAATAGTTTATACATAATAAATGTTAAATCTTTGAATTTTAAATTTATTATTTATATAAGCTTCTTTTTTTTATTAAATAATATAATGTATTAAATTGTTATCAGTGACTAATATAAAAATAAGTCATATTTTATTATAAATTGTTTTAGATCAAAATTATGACTGTATTGCGAAGAACAAAAATGATTCTTTATTATTAGATGATTTATCAGATATAAATCATGAAAATCATGAAAATCCTGAATCATATTCTTATTTAGAAAGAAATACAAGTATAGGTATGGATTTAAATTTTAAATTTTAGTAGTTATTTATTAAATAATATTTTAAAAAATTGTATCAAAAACTTATTGTTAATTTTTTCAATTCTAGTTTGGAAAAATGATCCAGCTATACTAGCAAGATATGAATCTATTCCGTTAGAACTAAAACAACACTTTTATACTTTGGGACCATGTCAACCTATGCCAGAAGATTTACCAGATAAATCATTTCCTCGAGATTCATACGGTCGTCGATTTACTAATTTATGGTACAGTGCAACTCTCCCGGATGGAAGTAAAGTTCATCGTGATTGGTTGTCTTATTCTCCTAGTATGAATAGAGTTTACTGCTTACATTGTATGATGTATGGTATTAATTTGCATAAATCTACCCGCTCTACTTGGGTTAAAGATGGGTTTAATCTATGGATAAATGGGTCTGCAAGTATTTATAAGCATTCAATGTCTGACAATCATATTACTTCATCCATAAAATTTAAAATTAGTACTCGATGTATTCCAATTATTCCCAGTTTGCAATGTGAACAAAAAATGCAAGTAAGACTTAATAGAGAGGTGGTCGCTGAACTTATAAATATAGTAATTTTTTTAGCCCGTCATAACTTGGCATTTCGGGGCCATAGAGAAAGCTGGTCTATGGCTACATCAACTTCTAAAGGCAATTTCAAAGATTTGGTAATTCTGATTGCAAAATATTCAGCTGCCATGTCTGAGCATATTACAAAAATCCAATTAAGAGGGAAATCTGTACTTTAGTTTATAAGTTGGCAGCGGCAAAATCAACTCATTGAAAGTATAGCTGATGAAATTTCTTTTAATGTACAAAAATCCATTCAAGCCTGTAAAATGTTCAGTATCTCTGTAGATTCCACTTTTGATACATCAAGAAAGGAACAAGTTTCCTTTATAGTGAGGTATGTTTGTGAAATATCTGGCAATGTTTTTGAAAGACTATTGGCTATGAAGGAATCGGCACATACAACTGGTATGGATTTATTTATCCTTTTCCAAAAAGTTATGGACAAATT